CTGTTGTCTGTCTGGTTTACACGAGAGGAAAGATAGGATGAGACAGCTTCCACCGCATCCGGCAGACCCAGAAACAAACACACTCTCTGCAACAAAACACACAAAGGCTCAAAGGTCTCAAATGCACGGACACTTCAAAACTTTTCACCTGCTAATAAGTGAGTCTTGTGATGTGTTGACCTGAGTGCATTTTTCATTACTGATATGCCTTTTTAAAAAATGTGCTTTAAAACTATTACCTCTTCACCTCCAGAACGAGGTAGTGCCTCAGAGTATGATTTTTGTTTTCTTTGCCTGGATCTCAAGGACAATCCAATGCCTGTGTCTGCTATATTTAAACTAAACATCTTTGTATGTCCTGCACACATTAGACTGGGTGAATGAAACAAATCCAAAATCATATCAAGTATTGAGCATCTAAAGCTGCAGTTTAGTCTGTGCAAGTTAAAATCTTTAGGTCTGTTATCCCGGATGACAAATGAATCTTCTGTGAAATTCAGAATGTTTTGCATACGAGCCTGGTAACCTGAGAATGTGGTCCATGTGGCTGCGAAATTGTCAGTTTTGCTCTGTTCAACAGGTGAGACCAAACCTATGCTATGAGAAAGAGTTTCTTACATATGAAGCCTTTTAGAAAACCACTGATCCAAGATAACTGGTCAGTTCCTTTGATCATTTCATTCACAGTGATCTGTCAAGCAAGACTGATTCCAATGCAGCAGTACTGTCACACCTCTCACACACCTTTCTTGATTCTTGATGTTTTTTTTAGCCATCTGTTTAACCGTGTGTGTGTTAGCATTCATTTCACATTTTCCCTCGCATGAGTATGTATGAGTTTGCATCAAAATGAACCAGACAAATGTGGCATGATTTTTAAGTATGGTCACACTTTATTTTGCAATGTTGAGCGTAACATTAGCACTTTTCTGCTTCTTAATTATTTATTGAAGGCTCTGATGATTTATGACAATTTCTTACATTTACTGTGAATCTTAATATAAAAGATAAGTTGAGTAGTGTACTGTTTGTGAATTAAGAACCTTTTTTTCTTTGTAATCACACGTTACAGTTGGCCTACATGTACTTCTGATGTATGATAGCTATACAATGTTTATTTTTTATACACACTGGCTATTGTTTTAAGGCAACGGTTGTGAATTGTGTTCGCTGAAATGATCTTAACTTTTCTTGACTTTCATTTGATGTCAAATCCTTAAGTTGAAGCCATTTTGCAAGAACAAATGTCTGTCCCTCATTTAAGGCATTCAGCTTCAAGTTTAAATCAGATGGGGACACGAAACGCAAATGCAAATCAGTATGTTAGGGGGAAATTATTCAGATGATATCAAAACTAAAAACAAAGTTGGTTTTGGATTGAGAAGCCTGGTATCCAATTCCACACACATCGTCACATCCACGCCTGTGAAGTTGGGCACACTACTATGGTCTCTTCTTGTGTTACCCCCCCTACATCATTTTGTTCATGCTCAAATCCCCCAGCCTTTTTATCAAAACCCGCTTGTTCCTGTTCTACTCCTTCCCTTCATCACAAATCCTCCCAGTGAAAACACAGGAGAGAAAATGAGAGGCAGAAATGGAGGAGAGCAAAATCTCTCAGAGGAGAAGGGCCCATTAAGCGACCCCCCTTTCCCTCCAAAGAATGCGCCCAGAGATGGAGGAAGATGAAAGAAGTAAAAAAAGAAAAAAAAAAACTGTTCTCTATACTTTCTAAAGATAGATTTTTCTCTTACTCCAAGAGGAAGGCTAACAGGGAGGCAGGTTGGGGTTTGGATTGAAGGAGGGAGAGGATTGAAGGAGGAGGGCAGGTTGTTTCAAACACAAAAGCAGATGAAAGAAGTCTTTTGGCAGAATAGACAGCCTGGTGGAAACACACATTATGCGCACACAGTCGCACATACACCATCTAACAAACACAAGCCTGCGTTAGCAAAGAATCCAGATTTCCAGATAACAAATGTCATTTAAATCATTGTTTCATGCATGTTCACAAAGCCTATCTGCTCTCAGCTCTCCATATTGACTTTATTTCATCAAATTGTGTCTCATAAAATGTGTATTTGTGCTTTAGTCAACAAGTATTATAGTGATTTTCTGCTCACATATCCATCCCCTCTCCCTTCCATTTCAATCGACTTGTGTATGATTTACACATTATATGACCCATTCTAGCAGCCCTGCACTGTAACCCAATCAATGTGGGTCCAAAATTCAAAGAGAGGAATGATATATGACTGTATTTATGTTGTGCTACCCACGCACTTTTCTCTTTCATTCTCTCTCTCTTTATCAAACTTTTTGCAAGATTTGGAAAATGTGCTGGCATCCTGTCACGCAGCGCTTTTAAATCAACCTTCCCTCACTTCCCTCTCCCTTCTCCATCACAGACTACTTTGAAGGCCTTTAATATTTCTAATTAGGTAATGGAGCTGATTGCATTCATAAAACCCTGTGGTAAGCATTTCTGGCCCTCAGGCCATCTCTGTTTTTTCTCTCTCTCTCTCTCTCTCTCTCTCCCTCCGTCTCCTTCTCCGCTGTTTCCTGGAGAAATATTACGAGTGAAAGCACTCTAACAGGTCCTCAAGCCCCCACTGGAACAGCGTATGGTGCCAAAGAGCCATCCATGTCTTTGCCTGAATAATAAAAAAGCCCTCTTTTTAATTCTTCTCTTTACTAATTGGAGAGTGGAGACAAAATGGGGCTACAGGGAGTTTTAATCTCCTTTCAGATCCGCGTGATGATTCTTCTCAGGATCCTAGCCTGAGGGCTTTAAGCCAGGATCATTAGAAAGTGCTCAACAGTCGTCCAAAGAGTGTCCAAGCATCTCTCTTTTTATATCCTGCTTCTTTTGCTATCCCTCTGATAGCAAAAGAAGAAGTAATTTAATGTTTTGTCAGGGCCCGTAGTGATTTCGAGTTGACTGTGAGAAAGGAGAGTTTAGAGCCTGGAGGGTCTGATGGGAGACATTTACACAATCAGAAGACAGAAGGGAAGACTGATGATTAGAGGCTTTCATGTGCATGTACTAAGTGTAGTTTTACATTACCGGTACATTTCAGTAAGACCTCAGTACTATATTATTATAATTTACAGCGTGACTACTGGGATCGGCCACATTTAGCTTAGCAGGTATTTATTGTTTCAGGGCTAACTGCCTATTCTGCACGTTAGCATTTTGATTTACATTGAAAAGCATGACAGGATTGTTTTATTTAGTTGATACTTCTGCCAACATTATTTGAAGTCAATTTCGTAATCTGCAGGCCACTCCTGGAGTTTTCGAAGCATGCATGCTTTGAGATGTCTGTCCAGTTGGTCAGATTTTTGGATTTCACTCCTTTGTTCTCATTTGTCACTTTTCGCCCTCATTTCAGGGATGTGACATCACACATTTTAGGGGTAAAGAATGTGGTTACATGTTATGTTTTAGGAAAATCTACCTTGATGGTGTCATTTTTATCAAATGAATCCATTTTGCTGTTATTCTTTGATTTCTTGTTCTAATAAGTGAGGGTTTTTTATTAATCAAAAAATGATTTAATATTATGTAAATCTGTCAGAAGCAGCAAAGACTGATCATTCTGACACACGGCCTCAGCCTCAGCAAGGGATGAACTTGAATTAGTTGTAATTCAGACTCACTCAGACTGAACAAATCCAGTCTTGAGGTGGTAAACTGCCTGGCTTCAGCCACATCACTGTTATATTTACCCCTGTGCACTTTCTCTGCCTTTGTGAAGGAAAGACCTCGACTTTATGATTGTCTTTTTGTCTTGCGCTGGATTTCTCTCTCTTGCACTTCAAGCAAATTAAATATTGAGAAACATATACACTCCATTTAGCATAGGATTTGTTGGTTGCTGTAATATTTGAATTGAGACCATTTGTTTTGTTTATTCTCTAATTGGGTTTGGAAGTCAATTCTGGGTCAATTTTAAACAATTAAAAATGTGATTGAGTCACTTTTTTAATTTGAAGGAAATTGCCTCATATTTAATCCATGAGAAAATACGATGATATTTGTATAGTGATAGCAGGTTTCATTTAAAAGTATTAATCTCTTATTATTGTTTACAGACTGAAGAGTATTGGAAGTTTGTAAAGACTGTTTTGAGATGCGATAATCTGGATGCCACATGTTAAAATTATCTCATAGAAAAATGACCTTATCTAACAAAGGAAATGAGGCTCCGTATCTTTTTTCATATCTACTAAATTAGTTTTTCACCTCTTGTCTTCTGAATATCTATTACGATTTCACTTTATAATGTGTTTTTGGTTCCTTTGCCCCAGCAATAAATGATTATCAGCTGCCCAGATATTGCTCTATTTTTTTCTGAGGATTGTAATATCAATTTCCTTGAATAGCACTGAATTGAAGCAGAATTGAGCTTCCAAACCCTTCAAAGCCTTGCACTTCGGCCTGCCTCAGAAATATAATGTGGTATTTTAGCTTGTTGAATTTCATGGTCTTGGAATAGAAGAGAAAATATATTGCAGGGAATGTGAAGGTAATAAAAGTGATATTTTTCTATGAAACAGTTTTGTGTGTCTTTTTTTTTCCAGTTAAGTCTCTCTTTCTCTCACCTCCCTATCTCTCTGCTCTTTCTCTCAACCTCTTGACTCTGTTTTCATTTCAAAGGCAAATAAAAAAAGAGCAATGATGCTTATCACATAATGAAACTTGCTGGCTTTATGCAGGTAGTCTCGGTGAAATGTTTAGTAACCTTGGATGTTATTTTCCCTTGATAGACTGCGCACAGAACAAAACAGTTTATAGGAGATATCTCACCTGATCTCTTCAGAAGGTTTAAACAAGATCACTCACTCTTTGAGCTGTTTGTTTGATTTCCATCCACAAATGTAGCCTGTGTGCTGACAACATAGTGATGTTATCACAACATGCTGTGGACTGTAGTAGCTCAGCCTTGACTGGATGGTTGAGATTAATGCTGTTATTCTTTCTGTCTTTTTAACAGATCCCAGGCCTATGGATTTCGGAAAGGATCCTGTTTTCAACCACAAGCCCCCCATCGATGGAGGTGAGGTTTGAAGTCTTCTTCTCTTCTCCTTTCAGCCTGAGGCTATACCGGCTGTTTTACAAGTCTCACCCCAAGAATGGTGAAATAGCTCTTTAAGCAGAAGCATGCCCGTGGCTCTTCGTTTTACTTGTGGTTTCACAAGAAAAAAGCCCGTGGCAACAGTGATAGACAATTTCTGGTGTGTGTGTGTGTGTGTGTGTGTGTGTGTGTGTGTCTGTGTGTGTGAGTGTGTGAGTGTGTATCGAGAGGGGCAGAGTGTGAGAGAGCATTCATTCAAGAGCGAGTGTCTGTGCGTGCATGTTAGCATGTGCTTCCTCTCCTCCTCTTTCATGTTCTGCGGCAGACAAAGTGAGACAGACAGCTTCCTCCTGGGCACCTAGAAGACATCTGTCTGTTACAATCACGGTTTACTTCCTGTGTGTGTCTGTGAACAGCAAGTGTGTGTCTGCCAACGTACATGTGTTACAATCCCTTGTTTCTCCCAGGCCCTTGATAGAAACAAGAAGAGTACTCAGCCTTTACCTCACAAAACAAGTCTGTTTGCTGCTTTCCTATGTGTGTGTTTGTGTGTGTTTTAGTGTGTTCTTCCATAAAACACTCTAAATGCAGTACTTAATTGCGGACTGGCTTGTTCATGTGTATACATTCATTAAGTGGTTTAGCATGATTGCCTATGCCAACTAGATGTGCACACTTCTAGACACACAACACACACTGGAGAGTGCCTTTACTAATTCATGTCATTATGTTTCCAAATGTTTGAAGTCAATAAAAAACTGATGTTGTGGTTAACATAATTATCTGCTGTTTAATATGTCAGCCATGGTGTGATGACATTTGCCTCTGATACAGTTAATTTAATTTATTTTTTTTTAAATGTAACTGTCTGACTTTTCGTTCTTACACATGAAAAATGACATTTATAACCCTCCATTCTCAGTTCAATAAACTCAAGGCTTTTGCTGTTATAGCATGAGTAGGTCTGGCATGGCCACTAGCTTATGGTGGCTAATGTTAGCTAACTATTTTGCTGTGTACAGTAAGTGAAAATACTGAGTAAATTCTGACTTTAACACTCTTCTCATCTTGTGCTGCTATTATCTCATAATTATCATGCTGCAGTGATACTGTTAAGCAAAAGTTACATTGTGTCACATTAAAAGTTTCCTGTTGTCTTTCCAGAGTATGTCTTCCCAGTGTGGCCGCCCTCCTTCTCCACCCCCTCCTCCTCTGATGTGGACCCCCCTTCTGTCACCCTGGTGTCAGAGAAAGACAAGGACAACGCCTGGCTGTACACGCTGGACCCCATCCTCCTCACCATCATCGTGATGAGCTCTCTAGGCGTCCTGATGGGCGCGGTTTGCGCGGGACTGCTCCTCTACTGCACATGCTCTTACAGCGGGCTTTCCTCGCGCTCCTCCACAACGCTGGAGAACTACAACTTTGAGTTGTACGACGGGATTAAGCATAAAGTGAAGATAAACCAGCAGAGGTGCTGCTCAGAGGCATGAAGGGGAGGAGGAGGAGAACAATGGGGAAAGAAACACGATCCCCTGCAAAAGTGATTTTGTTCTTGGTTTGGACAAAGACAACACAAAAAGGAAGCACTCTCTGTTATTTCAATCCCCAGTGTCCCCTGCCTAATATCCTGCTCTGATGTCTAAAGGGGTAACATTCAACACAGTTTCCCCACCTATTTGCGTGCCAGTGGGAACACGTAACTGTGATCTCCCCTACATGCTATGAGGCCTAAACTGGGTGAACACCTGACCCCAGTCTCCCCTACCTACAGTACCATATCTCCTCCGCCTGCAGGAGAGAGCCTGCTCGATTCTAAAAGCCTGTGAATGAATGAAGGAATGAATAAATGAATAGGAATGACAGATCTACAATAGAATATAATCCACCAGCCACTGGAATGAAGCTAGAACCGAGGTGGACTACAACACCCATGACAAGCTGGACATTTGGACGACAAATGACAGCACAGTCTGAGGTGTCTGGTTGAAATGTTGGTAATGGGATTCTTGATGAAGAAGAGAATTCCATTAACACATATCCACGACTGGTACTTTGCTGAAGGGCAATGTCAAATTTGTCCTTATTCGCTTGAATTTGAATGTGGCCAAGAGAGATGGCATGCAGAAATGAAAAAGTTCCAGCTTCTGACTGTTTGTGAAGACTTCAGCACCAGTGGACCATTTAATGTGGGTACTTTTGACTGAAATCAACACATATCAAGCGAATGCCTATCCCCCTAAAGAAAATTTAAATATATCAGACCACACAACTCAAAAGAATCTAGATTTCTAAGGGAGAAGAAGGAAAAGGACTTTCTTTTTGTTTGTTTCTGAAAGTTTTAGATATGAGTTCCGTGAGTTTCAAACGTCCATTAATCCGCCATATGGTGCTCGCTTGCTCCTTTGTCTGCCCTCGGTCTGCGCTTTGTGAAACCAGTGGCATAGAAGAGTAATGGTGACTGTTTTCGTTTTGTTTTAGACTTGTGTCTGTTTGGGGAAAAAAAAGGTAAAGAACAGTCAGCTTCAGTTCGTAGCCGCCCTGTAGAGCTCTTATGCCATTTTTAGACTTTCTTTAGCATTGTGTTGGACTCCACGGTCTTAACTGTTACTTCAGTCCTTTTCTATTTTGACACATTTTCCATTACAGATTATCAGTCTTTACAAAGAGTAGAGGAGAGTTAAAGGATAATGGAAGACAGAAAATCAGAGGTTTATCTAAATCTAACATGCTGTTATGGAGTCGTGCTTTAGATTCAGTATTCTAGGGTTTGTCTTTGGTATATATCTATATTTTTTTGCTTTTCAGACTGTATGACGCCCAAATGATGGACAAACACTGTGTGAAGAAAATGTCAGTGATTGTTTTATTGCAACCTATGGATTGCCAAAGAGCTGTGTATGTGCACAGGGGGTCTAAACAAGTGTTAAAAGAGGCTGGGAGACCGGACCTAGAGTGATAAATCATCCTCCCTCTTATCCACCGCTCCTAGCGTCACCCCCTGAATGAAGGACGCTCAGAACCGGAAGGAGAAGAAATGACTAAAGGAGGAGAATGGAAATCGTACCGTTGACTTTCTTGGACACACAATCGAGCCTTAAGCTAATTACAGTATACGCTGTATCGGAGGACAGCCATCGAGGAGGGCCAGTGCTGCTGGAAAGACTGATGAACAGGAGGACACACACACACACACACACAGAAAGATAGACAGACATGAAGAAACAAAGAGAGAAAAGGGAAAATATGCTGGTTGTGTTTACATGCAGGAGACGTATCATTATCATAACTGAAGTGAAGTTGCTGGACCTACAACAATGTTCATGTTGCATGTGACATTTTTTTCCAGCATTATGCAGCTTTTTCTCCCAGGAATTGCATTCACATGCTACTACTTTGCTTCAGCTAAATACATTTTAGTGGAAACTTAAAGGTACCCTATGGCGTTTTGATGACTAGTAGCGCTATGGAGCAAAGTGGGTTTCCATTGAGTTTGTATGTCTTGCGCGCCTTGCAAAAAGGAAGGAAATGCATTCAACACATTAGTTGTTAGGCCTCCAAGATGTAAATATAACTTTTTATGTTTACAAGAAAACATCACAGGGTACCTTTAATGGCTCCCAGAATACTTTAAATTAACGTTTCAACAAAAATGCTAATGTTAAACATATCTGGAACTTTTTTTATTTGTTTTTTTCTACAATATACAATGCTGGCAACTAAAGCATAATTTGAGATTGTATGGTTAGACAACTAATAGAGATTTGCGAAAGTTTGCAAAAAGTTCATAGTTCATAGTCATAGTTCAAGTACTATGTACATCTGGCTATCCACCCGGATCTGCAGTTAAAGATGCTACTTTTTAGTTTGCTTACTGTTGAAGCTGTGGTCGGGAACATTTGATTTACTGTCAACATAGTCAATCAAAGTCTATGAAAGATTCATAAGGAATAAAAAAAGCTTCATCTAAATAATTGAAGTATGGTTAGTAGGCTGGTGATTTTCTGCATGTGAACGTATCCTATGAGATAAACAAAAAGGCTGTAGGACAGGTGAAAGGTGAAAGGTGAGAATGAGAGTGAGAGAGAGAGAGAGAGAGAGAGAGAGAGGCACAATCACAACACAGAGAGAACAACAAACAAAGACAAGACAAAACAAAAGGCAGATAAGGAGAGAAAGTCAGTGGCCCCGACAGAAATGTTAGAAAATGTAACTGGAGGACCAGACGCTGATCTCTCCATGTCCTCTGTGAATTTTTTGTTTTTGTTATTTTCTCAATCTGTGAAATATCCGGGTCAAGTTGTTGCCCTCTGGGGGGTAAATTGAAATAGCAAAAGAGAGTAAGGAAAGTGGGGGGAGGGGGGGGGGAGTCAAACATGTCTCTTCGTGTTCAAGGACATGCATGGATGTAGCCAAGAGGCATATTGAGATGAAAAAACGGGGATTATAAACAGGTGTTGAAAGATGGTCTGAGAAGGGAGGGATGTCCATCTAACTGTGTTTTCATTGGACTGTTTTCCAAGTGCCTTGGAGCTCTCTTGTTATGTCTCTCCATCTCTCTCTCTTTTTCTCTCCCCCCTGCTCTCTTACTCGGACTCTCTGTCTTTCTCTCTCACACAAACACTGACGCACATGAAACAGTGAGTACAGTGTGAGACTTTGTGTGAAAATGACTACAAATGAACATACAGTCATATAGGAACTCACACACCTATTCTCTTTCTCTCTCTCTCTCTCTCGCTCTCTGTCTCTCTCCTGCTTGACTTTAAGTCTTTCCCTATTATTACCTCTTCTGTCTCGATGGATACACATATATATACACACTGACACACACTCACACACAGATAAATGCACACTCCATAAATACATACACACACCTATGGCACTGGCCAGATAACTCAAACTGTTGTTTGTAGACTTTGTACAGAAAAATTTCTTTTTTAATGTTATTATTATTATTTAATAAAGGCTAAATAACACGTGATTTGGTTCTGGGTGTTTTTATTGTTAAGGGTGTGAGCTTGTGTGTGTTAATGTGTATATATTTGCTAGAACTAACTATAACTTCCAAACAGGCCCTCAGCAGGTCAAAGGCATCCAAAGCATTCGATTGGTTTTTATTTCATTTATTCGGATTTTACAACATGACACACAGGATACTGAAAGTTTACAGGAAACCAGATCTTCTTCCAACAGTCACGGTTCCGAATATGCTTTCAGTTTTACAAAGTGAAGAGAAAAATGTGAAAAAATGCAAATGAGCTGCTGATTGTGGCCCAGAATAACCACAAAAGGTTGATTAGCTGTTAAACTTCAGTGAGTGTTTGCATTGCGAACGACATATTTAAGATTTGTATTAATGATTTCTTTAAATTCATATTCAAACTAAACCTTAAAAATAATGAGCCTGGCCCTTACTTACTTTACCAATTTCAATTTTCACTTCACTCCCTCTCCCCCTCACCAATTCCCCCAACCCCCGTTGCGTTCGCTCTCTCTCTCTCTCTCTGTCTGTCTCAGGGGTTTTCTGCCGTTTGTGCCCATGAGAGGCCAAAGCATGAGGGATCAAAGATTCTCTTCATTTAATCGAGCTGTGAAAGCTTGTTCCTAATTAACACACATCCGTGAAAGCGCACAAGCCAAAGTACCCAGCCTGGTGGAGATAAGCCGGTAGATCACAATAAGAACTTTGTCACCCATTCAAGTAATTTATCTTAATAATGGAACAAAAATGATGACATTTTGGGATAACTAACTGTGTGGATGTGTGTACATATTATATATGTAAATGTAAATGCTCCGTATTTGTATAGCGCCTTTCTAGTCTTTTCGAACACTCAAAGCGCTTTTACACTACATCTGCATTCACACACATTCATACACTGGCGGAGCAGCCGCCAGGGGCAATTCGGGGTTCAGTATCTTGCCCATGGACACTTCGACATGCAGCCTGGAGGAGCCGGGGACAAACCGCCGACCTTCCGATTAACGGGCAACCCGCTCTATAGACATTAAGAAGAATTCCAATATACTGTAAATAAAGTGATTTTTATTTTCTTTCCGATGCAAAATTAACATCACTATAGACTGTCCCACATCCCTGGACCACCTGCCCCACTTTACGATGCTTCTTACTGTAACTGGCTGTAACTGTATACAGTATGATACTAGTTTTGTTTTAGCCCTCTAATTAGCTTAGAGACCATTATCAGCGATTTCTCTGCATCATCAGCGTTTCTCCACCTCTTTCTTCTTCTTTTTCTCATCACTCCTGCCCTCATTTATTCATCGCTTCTTCATCTCACTGTTACTCTGACCCGGTTCTCACGCTTCCTTCTGACTTAGAAACAAACAATTGGGTGAAGGAGTCTCAGTGCATCTTAAAGCTCGCACTGGTGCCTCAGCAGACAGGACCACTGATGCAAGATCTGGAAAGATGAGATCTGTTTCACCATAAAGCATGTCTTCAACGGAGTAAGAAGAGGCAGTGATGGTATGGACGTTTCTCTCAGGATGGATAGGTTCTGGGGGTTGCTTGTGTCTAGCCAATATTATATTGTCACAGCATATATAAACATATATCATAAAAATATCAGAGAAACTATTTAACTTGGGTGCAAAACCCCCTTTGCATCAGTGGATTAAGCAACGCATAATTTTAAACATCCTCGCTACCACTGCCTCTTCTTACTCTGATAAAGACATGCTTTATGTGGAACCTGGTTTCCGCATGCTCCAGATCTCATCTTTCCAGATCCTGAATGCAGTTTAACACAGTCTCACACAAACTCAAGCATGCCAGTGTGAATGTTAATCTGTAGATGCAAACACGCACTTCAGACAGGTCTCTTGTGGTTGGCCTATGCTGAGCATGTAACCTACTAACACAGATTTTAACTCCCTGTTTCCAAATCAGTGATCAGACATGCGCATGCACATACAGTGGTTAGATATTATGTATTAGACATTAATATCTTGGGAATTTCTCAACTTTGGTTAAAAAAAAAAGATTAGATGGTAATAATTTCATACATATAAATTGTAGACAAATTAGCACTTTTGTTTAGTAAGAAAAAAGTAGTAGCAGTATTGACATCTAGGTGAACACGTCATGTTCTGTTGAAGCTGTAGAAAAGACTTGTTTGTGTGTATGTACGTGCAACTCCAGTAGAAAGGCCCCAGAAAGCAGGTGGATACAGAGCCACTTTGCTGCGGCACAAGCTTTAACCATTGAGCCACTCTATTATGAACCATTAATCCTAATATAATGTCAACTACAAATATTACATTTGCATAATGGGTGTCACCACACCAACAACCCCCATAAACAAAATTGACTGAGTAAAAACTCAAAATTTGCATTAAATCCTTCAGCATTTGGCCTCATTGAGGTTCCACATGTCCGGAGGAATATATTTTTCTGTGTGAGATTGTGTGTGTGAACAATCCCACACTGTTAGGTTTACAGAAGCACAGCTAATTTTGTTATCTGCTTCATTTCAACCTCTGCGGATAAAAGACACCGCCTTCAGTTGAGACACAAACTAGTAATTGCAACTAAATTGATGCATATATCACAATTCCTTCCTCTCCTCTTTATTTCCTTGATTCCTTCACTAACTTGATAGTAGCAATTTTTCCAGCCGTCCAAATTATTTCCATTTACTTGAATAATTATTTTTGAAGTTAACAGTTTGATCAAATATATGTTAAATTTTTATCCTTCCTGACTCCTTTCCCTCCATCTTTGCACCTGTTGCACGTTTTTCCTTTGCTTTCTCTCCTCCCAGCTAATTACCACAGATTGACAAATGATGTGAAAAACATTTTGAGCGCACAAAGTAGCACCGATATCAGGAGAGAGAGAGAGAGGACAGGACTGCAAAGCATTTTTAAAATAATGAGCTACAAATTTAATTTGCATGCTGTGCAGCCTCTTACTGAATCTTATTTTTCAATTCGTAGACTACATGAAGAAAGCTAAGTGTAAAATGTCTCCTTTACTTTCTGTATAAAATCCATTAAATTTCTTTTTTCATCTTCCCCCACCTGGGTGGGCGTCTGGGTGAGAGAGCTGCTCATGGTCTTGGCAGCTTCCAGCACCCTGCTCTCCTAATGTCCCGAACTCTCTGGCTGCATGCTGCTAAATCAAATTACATTTCATCAGACAAAAGCTTTTTTTTTCTCACTACACCAGTACAAATATGATTGTTGCAAATCTAATCACAGTATAAGGTTTATTGCTCTCTCATTTCGGGGTTTTCATTTGTTTGGTTGTTTGCCAGGTGCTGGCTACTGTCCCAGAATTTTTTGCCAAACTAAGAAGTTACACAAAAGCTGCAAGGCCCACCTGAAAAACTAGTTTGTTTTTTATAATTAAATTTTTATTTGCATGTTGTCTTTTGCTGTCTGTTTTTTTCCCATCCTGACTGTTTCTGTTCATCATTTATTATTCTCCCTCCCATTTCTATTCTCTCTTGTCTTTCTTTCATCCATTAATCCCTTACTTTATTCAATATTTCTTAAACCCCCCCGCTTCTCTCAATCATCTCAAACATCCCATCTTCCTTCCCTCATTCCTTTATCACTCTCGTCCCTTATGAAACATTTTATCATCAGTGTCTTCCTTGCTTCTTTCTTTTGCTTCACCCCTCTTGTTCATTTGTAAAACATTTCATCAGTCAACATTACAACAAGCACATTCTGTTACGATGGTATCAGTCTTTCCATTCGGTAGCCTTTGGTTTATCTAAAGCGGCTGCTCAGTCACAAACACTTGTGCTTTTAGAGGTGGTTGTTGACACTAAGACTCTTAAACTATCCAAGGCTGCGGTTTTCCCCCCTCAGTGGATTGCGTGTGTGTGTGCGTTGAGTTATGAAGATCCAGCCACAGTGTGAATGTTGCAGATCTTATTGAAAACCTTCAAGGAGGCACTGTACTCATAACCACATTCATTCCAGATATGGAACATAAGTAAACATAAACACCTGCAATATGTGTGAAGTATGTGTGTGTATGTACCCAAACACAAAACAATACACAACATACTGTACAGTACACACTGGTATGCCTCCTGCTGACTCCTTATCCTATTAATAGCAACAATAGCCCTCAACAGGGCCTCTAAGGGAGTCACAAAGTGGTCTGCCACAGAGCCAAAGCTTTCATCTGGGTAGGTGGCACAAGTGTGTATGTGTGTGTGTGTGTGTTGCAAGGGGTGTTTCTGGCACCAGCAGCATGAATGCCTGTGTTTTGTACTCCCTGTCCCCACCCACACAGCCAACTTTACCTCACTGCAAAAGCTCATGCCCACACATATCTGTCAATATGTGTTGGATCAAACCCGATCTGCCAACTGGCCAACCTCCGACTCTGTGTGCAGTGTTACATGAAACCATATTACCCACTGTTTTAAATGACTAACAGTATTAGCAGTGTATTTAGGGCAAGCAGAGCCCCAGTGGGAATTCAGACCCCTGTCTTTTCCTTGCAGTGTTAAGGTGAGTTCAGACAGAAGACAGAGCGAATATTCATCTGGCATCATATTATGGCCACTGGACCATTTTTTTGTCTATGTCACAGCTATAATACTAACTGCAAAGATGTTAGCTATAAGCTAGCTAGCAACGGACAGACCATGTCCCTGACTGATCTCAGAACTCACCAGAAAATCCACTTCTTTCTGCTATGTCCCTCCAGTCTCTGTACGTCTATGAAGAAGTAGAGAGTTTTGCTGAAGTTGAAACATTTTGAATGTAAGCTGGTTTCACCAGCCACATTGGTGAGTCTGTGTGTGTGTGTCATCAGCATAATGTGGTCCTGGAGACACCTACTGTAGCAGGAACTACCACAGAATTGGTTTTGAGTACTTTGCCAAGTGTTAATAAGTACGTCTGTCTGTGGACAGATTTTGTCAACGAAATAGCGTCAGACCCCTGCAAGATGCAATCACGAAACTTTGCAGGTATGTAGTTGACATCAAA